TTAAAAAATCGCAGTTTAAAAGATAAGTAAATAGATAAAATATGGTAACTTCTGTTGTTTTTCAACTCGAATAACCAGTAAAGTTTTTTAGACTTTCAAAATTCGAAAAACTATATTTAAAGAAAGCTTCAAGGAAGTAGAATCAGTTAGCGCCTTAAGCTCTTGTCCAGATTTTATCAGTGGTGAACTATAGATAATTTTAAGTCCTATGCCAGCTAATCACCGTTTTAGACTAGTCGGTGTCACGAAAAATAGGTGGAAGCTTATATTTATGTCTCAATTAAAACTTTTACGGAGTAACCGAGTTTGTAAATAAGCTCTTACTGTAAAGTTAGTTTCTAATTTTGAAATGATTTAAACGTCACTTTTCACCTATCCTATTTTGACGGGGGTCTCGCCTTCTTAAGAATCAAAGAATCTCAACACGCTTATTATTACTAACATTATAATAGTGAGTCCGAATATAAAGTGAATGCTTATAGCCATTCAAATGATCTACTCTTATATTAATGTAACCAAATCGTGGCTCTTAAACGGAATTATCCGTTGAAACAATAGGAAGGATTGTAAAATAAGCACTGTTGCAAAAGATGTGAGTAGTTCAGTTGTTCAAAATCAGCTGTATCTAACATTCGGTGCAAGTATAAACAAACCGGGAATATTATAAAGAGAAAAACATACTGGTCGACCACGAAAGACATCAAAGCGCCAGGGATGGGAAATTAAAAGCAATATGTCTTGAAAATAAGAAATGTGCAACAAAAGAGATTACAGCTCTCCCTTAATAATCCGACAGGTATGGGACCAAAGGGGTGTTGGATTACCAAAAGTGTCCGGATTACCGAAAAGAATTACATATTTTGCATTGTTTTGCTAGCAGTAGTTTACAATATTCCCTACTCCAACTCTTCGAACACAACTGCTCACAGAAAACACACGAAATGTGTGTCATCGTGTAAGAATTGGATGGGGAGATTCACGTCGCGACATGCTTCTGTGCAAGCAGACACGTAACGGGGACTGGTACCTTGACGGGAGGTGCGTCGACTACTGAGCATGTCGGATTAAAAAACGTCGGACTATCAAGGGAGAGCTGTACTAGGAAATTGAGAGAAGCGAACGTTAGTATATGTGATAGAACAGTGGAAAATTGTTTGAAACAAATGGATTTTCATATACAAAAGCAAAACGGAAACTAGCACTGACACCAAAAGAAAACAAGGTTACAATGAGCCAAAACAAAGTAATTGTGGATTGTAGACGACTGGATGAAAGGAATATTTAGTGACGAGTCACGAATTTGCTGTGACGAAGTGGTCATGAAGATGACACTAGAACTTTTGTCTGGCGCCGTTCTAATGATACTTATAAGAGTTATTGCCTAAAGAAAACGACGAAATTTTCTACCTCAGTTACTATTTGGGGTTGCGTGACAGATGTGCTATAATAAAGACTAGGCACGCTGGTCTTTATTACATCAATAGTTAATGCCCAGATATACGTTGACGTTGGGAGAACTTTATTCATTGATAATATGTTTTGTGATGATGATATCATTTTCCAAGTTGACAATGCATCTTGTCTTAAAGCTCGGACTGTTAAGAATTCTCTTCACCAACAGAGCATCAATACAATAAACTAGCCAACAAACAGTCCAGATTTCAACTCGATAGAAAACATGTGGTGGTAATTAAAGAAGTTGATCTAGGATAAAGCTCCATACTGCAAATCAGATCTCTCGACTGCTATTCGAAAAAGCTGAAAAGCTATCGATAGAGAATATTGTTTTTCATTAGTGAAGTTCATATCTGAAAGAATTAAAGCTGTCATAAAAGCTCGAGATGGAGCAACAAAGCATTAATTAAATTATTTAGGTTGACTGATTTTATAATTTTTTCCTATGTGTAAAATATTTTTAAAAATTCTGTTTAATTTTTATTTTATTTCGATCGTTTACATTAAGTCATACTTAAACTAGTCAAAAGGCTTGACTATTATTAAAAACGATATTTTGTATCAATTGTTTGTTGTATTTTTTGGTACACGTTTAAACACCGTAAAATTATCCTAATGAGATGAGGTGATTTCATAATTTTTGCTAGGATTAGTAATCCGTCATCCACTTTCGATTGATTAACTGGGATGCTCGGAATACAATCTCACATACAAGGACTTTGTAGGCAATCTGTTCTAACAGGAATGCATATAATGATCTTTCTTACGATAAATCTCAATGTATGTTTTTAGTTTGCGGTAGGTAACCGTTCTAACGCCTCTACAATTACCTTCTCTGTCTTATTGTATGCGTTTTGAGATACGAGTACCGGGTATGTACAGTATTGTAAATGAAACTATATTGATATTTTCTGCGTATTTACAGAGTACGACGATGAACCAGTCTTGTCATACTTACAACAAGGCTCTTTGTCCTTAGATAGTATCAAACAAAGCTGAAATTATACGGATAGACAGTTCTTCCTTTGTTTCCACTTATGATTTTTACACCGTGGAAACACTCTTCTCGAATTCTTCCTCTGGGGATAAAGTGACACTTCTAAATTTCTGCGGGCTTTAGTTCCTCTAACTTTTATTTCCGACTGTAGGAGGTTGCTTCATTAAAAAAATGCTTACTTTATCGACCTCTACAACACCCGTTACATTTTACGGAGAGTCGAAAATTATCATCCCATATAATTTTTCTTATCAGTCGGAAAAATATACTAATAAATTGCTGTCATTAATAACCACGCGAGAAAACAATTTTCCTAATTGTTCCTTCTTTGCTCACTGTATCATTAAGAGAATTTTCATGGTAGTTGCACCGATTAAATATTCATACTTGTTGAAATTTTTACATTTGTTTTATCTGATAATTTGTTATCGATTATTTTTAAAAATGCTTTGAAATTAAGCAATTTAATCACTTTTATAGGGTTTAGAGTTATGCGCTTTCCTTCCAGAACGTTATCAATTAGACATTAATTACCAATTCGTTCATCTTTAACCTTTCTGGAATTTTTCACATTTCTTGGACCTTATAAAAAAATGAAATAAATATTTGTTTCGGCTTCTAACATGATAAAGTAATATTTTAGAAGATTAGTATTGGTGGCACCCATAGACCTGAATTAACGTTTTTTTTTTTTTTTTTTTTTTTTTTAAAGCTAATTTTACGACGGAAATACAATACTTAACTATCCGTGCAGTAAAGTATCCCATTGGTATGATATAAACTAAACTAAATTAAGCTTGACTTAAATAAACGCATGACTTATTAAACATAAAATATATTACTTAACTATTTATAATTTTCAAAGTTAAATAGTATAATTTTATTTTTTTTTCTAGAAATAATTTTATGGTATTGCATTTGAGGCTTGATGCATTGAAGCATAATATCTATTAGTCGAACCTTTGATAACGGCCACCTCCAAACAACTGCCATATTTTACGTTTCCATCAATGGCCGTTGTTCAGAGATTTGAGTGTATTTAAAAAAAAAAAAAAAAAAAACTTTACTGTAGCGATTTTTATATTAAAGTTCCACTTCTAGACCCGTCGTAAAGCGAACCTGCGTAAATTGATATTACGTTTCTGGAAGTGAATAGTTTTAAATAAATAATACTACACAGAACAAGAGAAATGCAACATTTAAATACAGCGTATCACGTAGTCGTTAAAACGGGGATGTAAAACGAGTGGTGGTAAAGCTGGGTTTACATATAGACTATTTATTTTCTTTCAAAAAGAGCTAAATAAATATAAAAAAATTTATTCTGTTCGAATTACTTTGTGTGTTTTTTATCAGAGAAATCATTATAAGATGTCGCGTGTGCTTTTATGAATAGATTTAAATATAAAAAGCAGACTGACGAGTACCAGATTTATCTTAATATTCAAATCAAGCACACATAAACAATGAATTCGGTAAAATCTACACTACATTCGTCATTACGATGATGAGGAAGATACGCAAAACATTTTGCTTGTATTTTTTTAAACAAATTTTTTACTTGTTAAGCTCATTAATTGACAACGCCTTTTGAAAATATTCTAAATATATAGGCTAAATAAAAATAAAATTGAAATATATATATTTAGAATATTAAATAAATCTTTCTAGTGCAAATATATCTTATCAATTGTAAAGTTCATAATTCACAAAAACTTGACCTATAAATCTATTAAACTTTATTTTATACAAGACTTACTACAGCTAGTCTCTTATATTAGCATAGATACGTGTTTATGCTAATTTATGCTTTATCTATAAAACTGTTAGTTATAATAATTCTTCACGAAACTTTATATAATAGTCCTTGTTTTTTATTCTTGAAAATTCGTCGTAAAGCGAGCCGATTTATTTTCCATACAATGTCACGAATTGACCAATAAACAACTGCATTTTACTTGTATGCAGAATGGTATGAAACTGCATTTTGTATAGTTCTTTTTTGTATAAAAGAACTGTATTAAATAGTTTCATACAGTCCCTGTAATATGTATACAGGTCGCAAAACGGGATCTACTATATGAACTGGATTTTATTTATAACAACTTTTTATACGTCTATTGGATGAATATATAGATATATTTCTGATATAATAATTACAGTATACAATATCTGGTATTAAAAAGTACAAAAAAGAGAAACAGACAAGCAAGCACCGTGACACAATTCGTCTGTTTTGGAGGACATCAAAACTGCCCTAATTTTTGGAGTAAGTCAAGATGCCTTCTTATTTCCTCGACACTATTTACTTATTAAATAGTCTTAATAATAAAGAATAAAATATGAGACACCCGTCTAAGTGTAAAATGGAGGAAGGAAATGAGTAATCTGTAATGAAAAGGCGCTTAGGTAATGAATAAACGTGTTTCTATTTTAGAATAATTTTTCTTTTTTAATTATTTCACTATGTAATAACACTTTTACATACAGTATACGATGATTTATTACAGTTTTTAATATTAATTTTTATTTTTAGATGCGAGGCAGTTTGAACGAAATTCGATCGGAAACGATAGGCACTTCCCACTAGTTCAGTCCGTAGTAGAATTTATATACATGTGGCAATTAGTGTCGTGTTCGTCGTGTACTTCGGAAGTATCATGTCGGATATATTTCCAGAGGAAAATAATTATTATTGGACAAAAGCTGCTGACTGTTATAAGGACATGTCGAGTAGTATTGATGACACATGCGTACGTCTTTACTTTTATGTCCAATTGTCGCCGCTTGATGAAACTCGAAAGTTGGAAGACTTTGGTGTTGACGAGACATTTTTCTGAAAATATAAAACCTTAAAGATTATAATATTCACTTTTTTTTTTATAATTTTGCATTTTATTCTAAATTTTAAACTTGACCTTAACAGTTTATTGGTGATGGCAGTTTGATTCGAGAAAAAATCTTTTGTTCTAATTTCATGGATTAAGATACGTTACGTGACAAAGAACAGTAAGAGGGGGGACTGTTCTGGCGTGAAAGAAAGAAACGCTTGATAACTCCAGAAAAAAAAAATATCTGTTCTTTTATAAAAAAGCATAGTGTCTGGACAATTAAATGATAACTTACCCGAATAAATCAATGATGACTGATTCCGCCACTCCCATGGCATTTCCTCTGTGAGAGGCATGCACTTCACAAACGAGACGTTTTAAGCATCCTTCATTATCTTCTGCCGACAAATATTGAAATAATTGATCTTGAAGATGATCGTCTGATGGCGCGTGATTGATACCTTTGTCTGCCTGCCTGTACTTCAATGGATCCGTTCTCCTTAGTCCAAACGGTGTGGCCAATCTGAAGAAGTTTCGAAACAACTTTTTCTGGAAGAGAATTTTTTTATTACTATTATTGACACAAGATAACTGCAAATTGTATTGTCGTGTTATAATCCGATTGACGGTTTCGCTCCGAGCGTGTTTAAAATGAGTTTATTATCGTAACGACTATCGTTTATCTTATATATAATCGTCTCGTAAACACTTTAAGAGCTTACCTTAACCGTTTTGAACAGTCCGTAGGCAATGAGAGTTTTCAGAGGGAATTTCAGTTTCAGAGGTATGACTATAATTAAACCAACTGGAGAATACATCAAGAGAATTTGCGTAAAGAAGAACAGGAGGAAGAGCAGTTTTGTAAAATGCATCTTTAACTGAAAATAATTTTTTAAAAAGATAGTTTTTTAACGTTATAAAATTGAATATTATTTTATTTATATAATTATTCTATTCTATCTTAAATTCCATCCCGTAGAAAATGAATATTTTCGCAGTTCATTCGTATCCGTTTGCCATTGTTAACCAGTATGCTTGAAGCAGTTGATGATCCGTGTCTTATACAAAGGTGATTCGTTTGTTTCTTCGTCTTTTTTCTTTTCCTTTTTTAAATTTAAGTATTAATTTTAATAACATAAACAAGCCGTCGGTTGTTATTTTTTTATATTTTAAATAAAAACCTGCTTCGGTTTTGTTTATAGCATTTATATTCCTCAATCGTTTTCGTTTTTAGAGAGAGATTTTTTTCAGATATTGCAACAAAGCACTAACTTACTCGTAACAGCAAAAAGTATTCTGTTTTTGCACGTTAATTTGCAAAAAATACTTAATTCTTTTGCAAGTTTTTTTAAAAAGATTTGTTGTATTGCTCTATTTATCGAGGAATCCCGAGAAATTTCCACTTTTATCAAAAAAAGATTCATAATTTTTTACATCATTTCATCGTTAAAAAATTGTAAATTTTACAAATGACCTAACAGATATGTTGATTTTGCAATTTAAAAAATTGTTTAATCATAATTTTCATTTAAACATACAGTACTTTTATTAATGGAAAATTAATTAAGATCTATATAAAAATAAATTACCTTAACAATAATATAAACCATGCAATTATCATCAAATATAACAGCAGTTAATGCCGTAATAAATCAACGTTTAAAGCGTGTTAAATTCCTAATTTACATATTTATAAAGTAACTAAACGACTGGAAAACTAAATAAATAGAAAATTGAATTTTATAAAATCAACGATTACTTATTTAACGTTGATTTTTAACATGAAGAAATGTAGAGTTAACATCAGAACAACAACAATGGCTGGAGGCATGGCATCTCGACTGTATAATATTTATGTCAGTGTCAAAACTGATCAAACAACCAGGATATTCATTAGTTTTAGTGCTACATACTAAGGAATTGATCACTCAGAGGCATAAAATAACTTAGTTAATCGATAGAGGTGATCGAACCTACTCTACTTCAACACATTTTTAGTAGTAGGATGAATGCAATTAATTACATTCTTTATCATTATACAACATTAAAGATTCGTAAGAAGTTATTTTATCAAGAAGAATTTTTAATAAATTTCAAATAAAGCGCTATAAAAAGTTATATTGTGTCCTTAATTCAACTCTTATATTTCCTTTCCACAAATAGAAGTTATCCAAGGCCAAGAAGGAAGGTCAAGAACTTTTAAATCAACTCTATTGATTTATAGGGAGGCACGCAATTTAAGTTACGTTTAGACACACATTTTGTAACCAAGAAGCCGAAAAAATGGTTTTAAAATAAAGATTGAACGTCTAGAAATAAGGCTACTTTACTACTACTTAAATTTTTTCGATGATTTATTTTATTAACGCATCATTTTTATTGTTGTAATAAAAAGAACAGTTGTAATTTTGAGGGGGAAAATCTGATAATGAATTTTTGCATAAATAGTACCGACAAACATACTGACGACATTTTCCCTTAACGCGCCAGGAAGAGGTGAGAAATATTATTTTGTTCCGGGTTTAGACAAGAGCAAATAATTTTTTTAAGCTACGATTTATCATTGTTTCTCGTCTCAAAATAATAATAAAAGAACAGCTGCTTAGTATCTACAGCGCAATATGAAAGCATCTAAACTTATTTCTATTTATTTCTACTTATTTAATCTATTCTTATTTATTTTTATCTCACAATTTCGGGGATTTATGTCTTTAGTTAAATATAAAAAAAAAACACGTGAAAATTCTTATGTAACTCGTATATAGACGAAACTTACCTGTTCGAAAGTCCGAAAGATGCCACCCTTAATCTTATCGAATGTTCCAGTTTCCGACTTTTTGAATCTTATATTTCGAGGATGCTCCAATGAGTTCCTTCATCTATTTTATGATTTCTATTCGCCTATTTAGTAGAGAAGGGGGTCAGGTGCAGACTGGCAAGTTTCTGTTTGACCTTCCTGTCAAACCAATCGGAACTCGTCTCCGCACCGCCTTCCATTGACGTCGTATGGAGGGCGTTGGTCCCATCTGCATCTGAGCGGAAGCGTCTCCTGTTTCCTAACACCGATCGTGAATTTTTCTTCATACTCTAATTGATGTATCTGTTCTAGTCTATCGACGTGCACTGTTTTCCCGGAACTTTCTCTCTTTCAAAATGCTCTTTTTACGATATCTATCCATGAAAATAATATATATAAATTTTTTTCTTACCCCCCCTCCCATCTATTGAGAAGGAAGCCATGTCGTGCTCGTGTAATAACGATAATGGCCTAAATAGTTACGTTCGAGATGACGAAATTTAAATACGGGTGACGTAACAGCGGTCGAGTGACTTAAAACGCGTCACGATTCCGAAAGGGAAACGTTGTCCGATTCATAATGTTTACAAACATTTCTCTGTCGTAAAACGAGTTTTTAATAAATACGTTTGGCATTTTAAATAGATTTTTATTGAATAAATTACTAAACGTCATACGTTGAACGCATTTTTTAGTATCGAATCTTCGCTAAAACTTCTACTTTTCCAATCTATCAATCACGTAGTTATAATAAATTAATAAATTAACCTAATTTTTTCATATTTAACTCGTTAATTATAATTATTAAACGTTGAAAAACTTGTTGCAAATCTCTGATTTGTCGATATTTTGAAACGAAATGGGTTAATATCCTTATTTCTTAGGTTATTTAATCGCATTTTACAATTAGAAACTCAATTTTTTTCTGTTTATAATCAGGAATTTTATGAGGTTGATAACGAAGAAAACTTTAAGATAGCTCTTTTAAAAAACAGATCTAGAAGTTAAGAAACTCGACTTATAAATTATCGTTCCTGGAAGAAGATTAGGAAGATCTTCCTGTTAAAAATGCTAATAAAAATTAACATTTTTCGTATTAATAATTTTCTAATTTTCTTTTATATCGATGTTATCTATTGAAGAACATCAAAGGCTTTTATTACTGATGATATTTTTAGAAAATGGTACACAATCTTTGCCTTTTCTTCCACGAATAGAGGAAAGGAATCAAATATTTAGTAATATTTTAATTAGTATTCTCCATCACCCACTGTACTGTCGCTGTATCAGGATGTTCCCATTGGCAGCTTTAATAAATAATATTTAAAAAAAAAAAACCCCTGGGGTCAGAATAAAAAATAGACGTCGATAATTGAGAATTGTCGATGCTGTGCACGAATTTCTTGAATAAAAATAACGAAAGTCGAGGAAGCGCTAGTCGTTTGGATTTAATTCCTCGTAAACACGATGAATTAAATTAGAATTGTTGATAATATATTATCCTGAACACTTTGAAATTTGAAAGAGAAAAATTAATTAATTGTCTAAAAAGAGATTTATAATTTTTTAGCCATATTTCATTTACCCTTTGTACTATTTGTTGCTGCTACACCCATGAATACCCTCTGTCAATTTTTTTTATACCGACAAGAGCTGCTGGCAGTAGTTTTTCTATGCTACATGCTAAAGAAAAACATTTATTAAATTATAGAAATTTATTATTGTTTAAAAAATCTTGAATTTTTTCGGTAATAATTTTTAATGATTTTCAATAATAGTGTTAATTAATGTACTCTTCGTTGCCGATTGAAATCTGCGCGGTTTATATTTATAATATTTCTAAATTGAAAAATCTTCGTCACAGTTTAGAAATTATATAAGATCTTTAGAAATTCGTTCGTCTCAATTTCACTCTTCTTAAATCGTTTTATTTTTAAGATAACTTATTCTACACAAATCTTCTTCCTTCTGATAAGTTTTTTAGTTTTAAATTAATTAAGAATATACTCCTTTATTCTTGTTCAATTTAATTTAAAATGATAAGAACTTAGTATTGTACTTGTTATGTATTTTTATTAATTTAATTTCTCAGCGATTTGTGTCTAAGTGCGAGAACATCAACAGTATCTCTCGTTATCAAACAAAGCAAGATGTCAGTGTCAAAATTGATTCTATCGTTTTTTCCGCATTGTACTTTATCTTTTTTCCATCTACCAGACCTATTTTTATTTTTCCTCCTAAAATCAGAATTAATTTAAAATTCTTTCGACATTATTTTTATAAGAATTCACTTTAAAATATTTCCAAATTCAGTTTGAAGTATATTTACTAGGTTCATCTGTCTCTAAACTGAATAATATTTATTTAAATCTAACAATAAAAAAAATAGTAAATTGATTGATTCTATTTTCGTATTATTAATTTAGTAATAATTTATAATTAACCTAAGCGAAAGAAAATTTTTAAAAAATTAATCTTTTCGATAGCGATTATCTGGTTGTTATATGGGTGCAGGAATTTCCTTGTCATAAACAACGTCGAGAAAAAAATAATAATAATAAAATAAAATAAAGAAAACCGGTCGAAAACTCCAGAAATTAATCTAGATTCATCTATTTTTCCTCTTTTTTAAACATCTAATAGTGTGAATTATTGTCATTCTGCACCAATTCTAAAAGTTGCAAAAATAGATTTTTTTATTTGTTTTACTAAATAATAATCTAAATTTAAATCTACCCGACACTAAAATCTTTAAAGGGGGAAAAACGGCATATCTTCTTAATTTAGGGTGTCCTAAAAGTCTTAAATCATAGGAGTTATGTTGATTTTTAACTGCATCCATACCACTGTATGTGATTAATGGGAAGTTCTGGATGCATCCCGTTAACGTTGCTGCGGATCCCCACCATCTAAACAATTTGATTCCTCCTTAATTAGCGCCATTTGCAAAAGAATAAACAAAGAACAAATTATGGTTCTAGACTCACATTGAGTAGCGCTTAGAAAGAAATGATAGGCTACATACTGAAAGTTATTTTATATTCTTTATTTAACTGAATTTAATTAAATTTCAAATTAAACTAGTTACATTTTGAAATACACTTACCAATAATTTCTATTTACTAAATTTTTTGCCAATATAATTTAACGAGAACTTATATTTAACGATTGATGGATAATTTCTGCAAGAACTGTTTTCTTTACAGGTGTAATTTGTAAATTAATTTTCAAATTTATTTATTGGCATTTTGATTTTAATTACAGTATTTAAATTTTACTGTTTGCATTTGGGATTAAAAATTAACTTCGGTATCAAGAAAACACGAAGGAAGACTGAGAACTTAGTCAGTAGGATACATTAAATTGGGTTAAGTTATTTAAATTATTCCAAGAAAAAAATAATAAAATTAATTATTTTCATTGGAAATGTCTTTTTTTTTTTCTAATTGTTTTTATTTTCTTGGGAACGAAAACGGGAATAATTGCCATAAGGAAAGGTTCGTCTTTGTTGTCGACTATTTTTTACCATTGGAAATTGCTCTAGTATCACTTACAGAGACGAATCCAGTTTGATTTGTATTTTTAAAAATCGTCTTTAAAAACTGGAATATTTAATAACGAATTTGGTTAAATGTTTTCCGACTTTATTTCTGTGTAAAAAAACAAAAGCAATTATCCTATCCAACTAATTTCCGAATAAAACGCTTCTCGCTTACGACGTGTGGCGTATTTTAAATCGTAAGAAAGAATTGCCAGGTTAGATTTTAACGTAACTTAAATGACGATCGAACACGTCATTTAAATACGTGTTACGACGAGAAACGGACAGGTTAATTACGTGAGACGGGATCGTTTTCGCTTGGTGATCATCCATTGTCTTATTCTCCTGTGAGAATATTCTCTCCACTCTATTTTACTCGGAGCATTGCCGAGAACTTTTAAAAAGGTTTGTCGTGGGACGGGACCGTTCGTTTCTTTTTTTGTTTTTCAACGTTAATTAATGATTCAGATTTTCCAATACTGTTCTAAATACTCGCGACATCGAAGCAATTTCCTCTTCGTAATCAATGCGATCAATGTAATTTCGATAATCCAATTCGATGACAAAAATTGTCGTATAGAAAATATAACGTAATTCTACAAGGAAGAAAAGTCTATATATTGTTATTGATATTTTACGATGTCAGTCATTAAAGTTGAATTATTGTCACAATTCAATTCAGAAAATGTGACTGTTTCAATCGAAATTCTATTTGAATTTTTGCAAATATATAAAAGAATTCATTACGATTGAAAGATGCGAATTGTTTCGGCAATCAAAGCTCAGATATTTACAGGAGATTGAAAAAATATTTGGTAATATTTACACTGCCATTCACAATCTTATATTCTCGGTACGCTCGGGACAACATAAAATCATAATAAGTATAGTAATACCCGAACTTACGCAATAGGTGGGACCGAGCGGTAACCGCGTAAGTCGGGGTATAATTTCGCATATAAATACATACAAATAATTTTTAATTGCGGCCGGAGACTAAAGAAAACAATAATTTAGAAAAAATGTTTAATAAAATCTTAGATAATACATATGTATAACAAATTAGGCATATATTATTTTACAATTTTTCACATTTACTTGATTATTACGCCATAATTTTAACATTGTTTCCATCTCAGCGATAATACTGCGACGTTTACGAATGATGCTTGAATTTAAAGATTGAGCATTTTTCACAGCTTCGAGAATTTTTTCTTTACCTTTTATAATTGTTCTGACCGACAATTCCGGTAGATCAAACTTCTTTGCCAATTCACAAATTTTCATTTTTGTATCGAAGTCTTTAATAATGGGTACGTTCGTAAAGTCAAACGAGTTAAACGCATTAGTAACGAATCGTTCGAAAAGTCTAACGAAATAGGAATAACGATGACTTCATTCTCGCTTAACTCGTTCGACTTTACGAACATACGCAATGTTAACTTTACATTCCAAAGATAAAGTTTTTCTTTTCTTGCTTGATGCAGAAGAATTAGTTCTACTTCGTTTGGATGACATAGTAGAGTCTCTCGAGATATAACAAACACAGAAATAAATAACACAAAATAAATTGTAGCTATGTGTGGATTCCGCGCGACACATCCGAACATGTAAGCTGAACAATAGTGTGGGGGGATTGAGTAATTAAGGATTGCGTGGCGC